TTCCAAAATGGGGCGGGAGGGGTCCCGCGCATGCGCGACCTGATCCCTCGTCCCACTTCCCTCCACGGTACCTTTTTGCTCCGGTTCTGTGTCCGCGTCGCTCCCGAAGAGCTCCTCCATGTCCGCCATGGTAAGGGAAGCCCACTCTCGGACCCGGCGCTGGGCGACGCCGGAAGCGGCGCTGCCTCGTGACGTCACCGCGCCGCGACCCGGCCCGTGAGCGGAAGAGGCGGGCTTACCCGCAGCGTCTTCCGCAGCGATTTATTTTCGCTGGTGCAATGAGTTTATCTAATTCGCGCAATGCATCTTACCGTTATTTAGTATCGCTCTTAGAGATAAAATGGAAGAGTTCGTTTTTCCGTACGAGGAAACAAAGGCGCCCTATGGTTTACCGAGCTTGCCACGATTTCAGGGAAGCGGCTCTTGACTGTAATATATCTATGGCAAAGCTTTCCCCATTGGAAAAAGCGGCCCACGGGAAGTCGTTTTATATAGAGATAAATAAGTAGAATCATACGAGCAGCGTCGGAATAGAAGGACTTGAGGATCCTTAACACCCTTTTTTTCTCCCCGCCAGCTTGAACGTGACTGGGGCTCATTGAAAGTAGTTTTAGCACAGCTGTAACTGGGCAGCAGACAAAAATTCAATACACTAAATTTCATGAGATCTCTTTGTACGTTGTCCAGCGCTCATCTGCATGGGAAGTTCAATCCCCTCCATTTCCCCAGTCCTTTTAACTGCCTTTTAATGAAATCCTCTGCCTGTGCCAGAAGCAAATTGCTTTGATTTCAATGGAGCCAAGTCCCTGCTGTGTATAACAGCTGCCGCCTCCTCCTCCTCCACCACCACCACCCCTGGTGCATTACAGCTCCCGTCACTCCCAGAGAACATAACTTAGGGCTATCCTGATTGAAGACAGTTTTACCAGGTGAAACTTACTTGCAATTCATCACCATGGTTTTTTCCTAAAAGACAGACACACCTGTGCCATAATAAATGCATTCCTTGTAAGAGTGCAGGACTTGCTTTTGAGCAAAATGAGGCAATTTATCGAAGGCAAAAGTATTGTGAGACTGGCTAATAAACGATATATGAGAATGAATATCACATATTAGTTAATATCAGAACGAGTTTTAGTAGTAATTTGGCCTTCCCAGAGGCTACTGAATATTCTAATTGGGCTGGCCAAAGAGCGAAATAGGCATCTTCACAAAACCCAAACGCTCAATTCAGCCTAGTCTCACAGGACTGACCATAACGAATTATTTCCTTTGAGATTTATGTGCTTAGTCTCTTCCTAGAAAAAAGTATTAAACAGCAAACACTTGCCTTAAATCAGTGTTTTTCAGACTTGGCAACTTTAAGATGTGTGCACAATTCTGGGAGCTGAAGTCCACACATCTTAAAAGTTACCCAGTTTGAAAAACACCACCTTAGATGGTGTGCTGGACAAACCAAGACCAGTCTTAATTTTGGCTTTTGATGCTGTTCATTTGGTGCATGGGCTAAGAATCTTAGAAATGGTCCTTTCAAATTATGGACACATTTACACCCCAAATCTATCTCTCTGGGAAGAGAGCTGTCCCCTCCCCCCCAACATAATTTGGTAGATTGTCAGAATTTTTTAAAATTATCCCTTTCCTTGACCTAGTGCCTGAATTTGGGAAACCTGGAACAGATGGGTGTCAATAGGGCCTGCCAAATTACAAAGCCAAAGTAGCTGGTCAAGGATACTGAGAATTGAGGCTAGGCCTATACAGAATATAAGGCATTTCCAGAAATTTGTTAAGCCTCAAGCATGTACAGCTGATCACATCCAAGTCAGATGGTTACCAAGTTCCCACTTTTTTTTTTGGGCTGTAGTTTTGCTATAGTTTAAGAACTAGCAGTCCTCTAGTCTTCCCTGTAACTTTCAAGGGAATTTTATCTCGTCAGGGGTCAGCCCTTTGAGGTAGGCCAAGTTAGGAAACAGACTCCACAGACTATTGGAACTCTATTGTTGCAGGATATAACAACAGATATCTTGAAAGCCTGACAGTTTCTCTCTGCTCCATCTTATACCCAAGAGAATCAAGGTGGGGCAATCTTGAGTTTCTTTCTTGCCGTCTTCTCCATTTCGGGGTTCAGCTGATATTTACATAACCACTCTTGCATTCCTTCTTCATGGCTATCTCAGTACTCCGCTACATCAGATCCCCATGTCAGGTAATATGAGGAACATGCTAAGGAATTCCAGATAATTAGTACTCCTTTGAAAATATTCACATGGCTCGTTTTGTAGGATGCAGCCCTTTGACTGTTATTTGGATTTGGGAGGTAGCCACAGTCAATTGCACAAAATGATAAACCTAACTTATGGGAGGAAAGGAAAACTCTACTGTGATAATAACCATTTAAAAAAAAAAGCATTTTAATACTTTTATTATAATAATGACAGCATACAGTCTGGCTTTGTGATGCAAGTCCGTTCATGGGTTTTTTTTAAACAGAAATTTCAACCAGAATAGAGTTTGTAGCATACAAATGGTATTATCTGTATCAAAAATATTAAAAGTTAACATTTGTAAACAGTGTTAAGCGTAATCACATTCTTTGTAGTATGATATGGAAATATTCAATTCAAGATTTCAAAAATGAGTCCTAAAGACAATCAACAAAATATGAGGTTAATGATGAGGGTAAGTGCATACTTAAAATTGAAAGCAATTCCTATCACTGCCAAAGAAGCTTTAGACTGAAAAAATGCAGAACGGTTTCATCTCTTGGGAAACCAGCTCAGTTTTATATTAAACCCTGAGCCACTATAACATGTACTATTGAACACATGCATCCTTAAATGTAAGCTGAGTGAATGTAAGTTGCTCAGAGTCAGAAAAATCATACTGCATTATACTTCCTGCCTTCCAAAAAAAAGGATGCAGACACCCCCACACCCAAATTGTTAAAAGCACCATCATGTTACCTTTCCATCAGATTGTTTTATTTCCTTCCTCACTTTCTCCTAAAATGGAGTGGGTTGCATAAAGCTAAGGATGTCTAATTCACCCTCCTTCACCCTTTTCCCAATATGGCACCCTCTGGGTTGGTTGAACTACAGTTCCTATCGCCCTCTGCCAACACAGCCTTTGAGCATGATGTGAGTCGTAGGTGTGGACATCCAGAGAGCATCTGGTTGCAGAGGCTGGTACACCAGCCAACTGTTGATCCCTCTTGCAACTTAACAATCTCCACCAACCACCATACCAATAAACCTAGATGACAGGAGAACAATTCAAATCATATTAGGCATGAGGAAGTTAAGAACAAGTCCGTCTCCAGGGAGAATGTTCCTTGGATCCAGCTGTGACATGCTAACTCCAGTTTGAACTACAGAGCAAGCAACAGAAGATATACAACAGCAAGGCAAAGTAAAGGCTCTCTTCTCTGATTTCAGAAATTGCACACTAATACCAAGAGCATATACTAGTGTACAGTACAAGCATCTCTCATGTTTGGCTATGTTAGTGTAGCACCACCAGTCGTAGTGACACTCAGAAAGTAAATCTGCCCAAGTACACATAATGCCATTAAGGAGACTTGCACACACGTACAAGACTGCAACTGTTTCTCTAAAAAAACCAGAAAGTTGCATCCAGTGATGGACACACCCAACTATATATATATATATATAAAAAAGCAAAATATATTTCATCAAAATGATTTTGGAAACAGAGCTCTGAGATTAAATAAAGATGGTGTTTCCTCTGCAAATCCTATTCTATATACAAAATGGGTACAATTGCCCCTATTTTATGTTACTGCTAATATTTCCTTGCCTTCCTCCTAACTTGCCCAAGGCCAGCCTGATGGGCTATATAGTTGCCACACAGTGTGAAATTGTCAAGCTGTAAATCAGTGGCAGGATTTATAGTGGTAGTGCTAACACAGGACAACATTTCACAGTGACAGCTAAGCTCAGTTCATAACATTTGAAGGCATTCCATTAGTTCCAGCTGCTGTAAGGACTAAAAAAAAAAACATTTTTATCATTTTAAGTGAATCAGGTGCCCCCAAAAGAACAAGTTGGAATTGTGGACCATCCCAGTTTATCAAGCCCAAGAAATGTACAGGCCTCCAGGGTCTTTCTTCTTGACAAGTGGGAACAGCAGCAGGAACCAGAAACACAATAAGGGGAAAAAGCATCACGCCATATCCAAACTGGGAATTCTAATTTATAGCTTCCCTACCAAACCAGAAACTTGGTTTGGACATAATGGTAAGCATTTGCTGGTTAGCAAGCAAAAATAACTGGGCAGCATTTCCTACTACACTTGCTCTTGAGTAAACCTTAAATCAATATTCTGGATTCATCTTTTTGTGCAAATGAGTCCAGTGTGTGCCATGTAATTATTTGAAAATGAAGGATTCCCCTTACAAATTAGGAGGTGCAACACAATTGCTTAAGACAGTGTTTCTTAACCTTGGTGACTTTAAGACCTGTGGACTTCAACTCTCAGAATTCCACAGCCAGCAAGTTGGGAGCTGGGAGTTGAAGTCCACAGGTCTTAAAGTCGCCAAGGTTGAGACACACTGTCTAAGACAACATATATTATGGGTCATACAAAATCTGGGTTGGCTCCAAGAGGGCTTTGCCAGTGTGGTACATGGTAGGTCCCCTCCCAACAGCCATCAATGTGCTTCATCTCCGGCCTACCTTGAAGCAGGAATAGCTGGCTGAGGAGTTACCACTGAGAATGTCCTAGGATGCCACCACATGACCAATGCAATGCACTTGGGTATTCTGGGAGATTAAAATCTGAATTCCCAACAGAGCCTTGGACTAATGCTCAGCTAGGTGTGCCAGGACATTCTAGGAAATTCAGAAATGATAAATTTCTCTGACCCAGCAGCCTAGCAGGGGACAGGCATCAAGGTGAGCTGCGACAGCATCTCAGATTGTGGCTGGACAGAATGTGTGAAATTTCTAGGGAATTTAACCGTAAGTCACAGGGTATTTTCAACCCACCTAAACAGGGCTTATTAAGCACTAGTGGACCAGTACGCTGTGTTACAGCTCAGCAGCTATGGTTTGATATGCTGCCACTTATATATACATATATATTCTCTCTCTCTCTCTCTCTCACACACACACACACACACACACCTACACACACGCATTTAAATACCAAGTAGCAGAACCCAACACGATGCTGATGAAATAAGAAAATGTCTCTATAAATACATCCAGTCTGGACATAACAAAGCAAAGTGCGGACATATCATGGATCTGCAAATTAATAGAAAAATAAACCAGCCAGCTGCCAAGGTATTAGGGTTTAAGGCACCCAGCACCATTTTTGCCAGCTTAGCTCACCATGAAGAAGGAAAACAAGAAGCAGCAGCAGCAGCCCTTAAAATGGAATAATCTTCTTAGAGCAAAAATCGTCATCTTCAGGAAAGCATTTTGAATGGTCAAGAATGGGGGAACAAAAGAAGCATTAGCCGAAGCAACAATGTACCATTGCTGCAACATATGTGGTGGATGAAGTAATCATTTTCCTTTGTTTTTTTAAGAATTCCCCCCACCCAATACACACACATTTAAAACATTGTTTTGATGCCTCAGTGCTTATATTAGAATTTCCTATTTCCTACTGGATAATTTACTCCCTGGCAGCTGAAACAGTTTGCCCCCTTAACAGCAGCTGTTTACTCTGCAGCTACTATGCCACCAAGGTTAGAATTGGCATTAATCCATCCAGAAGCCATTGCTCCCAACTCCTGAAGCAAAAAGGAATTAAGGGAATCAATCTCAGGACAGATGGGGCTAGCAAGTTTTCAAATCATGTATTGGATACCAGGACTAGTAATATAACTTTATCAAATATATATATAGAGGAAGATATATATATATATATACACACACTCATCCGTATGAACAAAAAAGAGGAAGGCCAATTCCAGTCTTTTCCCTTCTATGCAAGTAAGAAGAAATCTTGGAGTTGCTGAAGCCCAGGTGAAGTGGATGTCCTTCAAGGGGCTCCAGAATCTCTGCTCTTTTGCACTTCAGATGGCCAGAGGGTTTATTGGTGGTCTCCTTCCACTCTTCGCTTGCGAACTGTCCAAACAGAAGGGATGGAGCAGCAGGACAAAAAGAGAAAACAGAGAGGTAACCTGGGTGTGAATTCATCATGTTCCATTCAGTAGAAGGGAGGGTATTAATCAAAACAAATGGGGCACAGGGAGGCTACACCCCAAAAGGACAAAGAAATGGACGGAGTTGGGACAAAAAATCCAAGTTAGAACTGATTCAACTTTAAACAAAATTACAATTAATATTTAAAATCAAAGAAAGGCACTGAAAAGTCCAACATGAGTGACTAATTCTCTTCGCTATCATTAAATATTCCAATTCAGCGGTAACCTTTGCAGGGATTTGGGAGAGCTGCACCCAAGGAAACATCTTACATCTGCACATTCTGCCCACCCATACTCCACAGCCCTGACATGCCAAACCACGACACAAGTAGCAGCTGAAACCTTGGCTGAACAGGATAGACGTGCAGCAGCAGAAAAAAACAGAAGGAAAATGCATGCAGGTCTATGTGGGAAAAGCATGCAGACACACAATTAGAAGACCTTTTGAAAAGACCTTTCTCTCACAGCACTTAATATCAAGGGAGCACTGGCCATAACCTCTTCAGAAGCTTCAGGGCTGAAGAGATGCAAAGATATTTGCAGAGATTTTTACTCCCAGACGCCAGGCTAAGAAAGGAAGAAGAAAGGAAAAAGAGCAAGGTAACAGATTTCACAGTATTGAAATATTACAGCTGGGATGCAGAGGGGAGAGGAGGAGAGCAGAATGGCTCTCAGACGCTGAAAACTAAAACAAAAACCAAAAGATTCCAGTTTCTGTTATATGGTGGAATACTTTCAGTCTCTTCACTCAGATGACCATCTTGCAGCTCATTAAGACGAGACGTGCATGAACAGTTCGGCATTCCTGCACAGCACCACTGCTCTTCCCATAGCTGTGAGTTGCAATTCAACCTGGAATACTCTACCTAAGGATGATTTCTTATACGTCACCTGAACTGAGAAATGAAAGGGGTTACTTTCGGAATCAACCTATACGTCCATATGAGTTTTCCAGAACACATTAAAATGGATACCATTCTTGGCTGAATTACTGCTTGGAAGAGTGAACTACTAATTCAGATTGGGATTATTAATCACTAAACCAAGCCCACTCATTCTTGGTGGGATACTTTAATCACAATTGTGTCCTGCTTACCTCCAGAATTATAGGACGAGGTTTCCCTTTCAAGGGTTTTGCTGTATCTCATCCAACCACATGAAGAAAATGGGAGGTGCAACCAAGGATCATGTGGCCAGGGATGTGCTCCTCTCTGCTCCTCCGTTGCTCTTCCCATTTTCTTTATACGATAGGATTAGTAAGCCCCTTGCCTGTATTTATATAGATTTTAGGTGTATGTGTTTCTCTCTATAGCCCATATACATATTTGAAGTAGATTATGTTTTCTGGCTCTAAGGCCGTAATGAAGATTAAAAAACTGCCAGAAAATGGGAGAAAATATACTTTTCTCCTTCTCTGATAAGACTGGGCCCTGCACTGAGGCTGAACAGGGACAGGACCCAACCATTTCAAAATGCAGAGTTAGGACAATGGCGTTTGCTGCCACCAGGTGGGGCAATGGGCACCTGCTCGGAGGACTGTAAATGGGGACTCGAACAATGGAGGAAGCTATCAACGGTTGCATATTACAGTACACGGAGCCCAAAAAGTAGCTGGCTCAAAATGCAAACTGCTGAGAGGATCTGAGAACAGGGATAGAACTGTTTTTGCTTCCTTGAATTCTTGAAAAGCTGGTGCTCTTTCCAAGTGCCAAACGACCTGAGAAACAGAATGCTGGACTAAACCAGGATTCTCTGTGACCTTGACAGTAAAATGACAATATTTAAACAAAATCAATGAAGAAGGAAGCAAACCTTCAGGAAACTGATTTTTTAAAAACGTGTTTGGCCCAATTGTATTAGAATGTTGAATCACAAGAGGTTCAGTATCACCCTTCTTCCTTCCACAGCAAGGCTAGTCTTACCTAAATCGTTGTTCTTTGTGATCGCGGCTGCTGCCCTGGTGCGGGGTCCTTGCTGCATGAAATGATACCCAAACTTAAGGATCTTGGTGTTTTCCTCAAGCACCTTGGCAATCTCCATTTCTACAGGTGTCCCCAGCTGCTGCCTCTGTCAGAAATCATCCAAGGTGGAAGTCAACTAATACTGGTCTGTTACAAGAGAGTTGCTTGAAGCTGATGAGGTACATCAGCAATAGCAATGTCGGGATTGGGAGATCTGCTTCTACTTGGCTTAAGGCAAACTGTACGGCTTACGCAGCAAGGAATTCTCATCTCCAAAGGCACAATGCGCGTCTTTTGAGATTGAAACCAAGAAATAGTATATTAAACTCAAAGGCTTCGCACCTCATGCTGAGCCATAATATGGCTTTTTGATTTGGACTCGGAGGGTTATGTGAACCCAACCAGTGTGATTCATATTAGGTTGAAAAACACTCAGAACAGCGCTTGGGAACATTTGGGACTGCAAGTGCAGAGAGCACTTCATTAAAGAAGCCATATCTTTTTAAATGTAAGTGGGGGGACCACAGCCGATTCCTTAAAGCAGCCTTGTCCTTAATATGTTTCTGAAAAGGTTGGAAAAGGGAGGCGCTAGTGCCTTGGATGGCCGCTGTGACATCAGGGAAACACCATGTGCCCTCTGCGCACACCAAAGAGGGCCACACAGACATCAACAGCAGGAAGGCAAGCAGGCTGGCTGACCAGTGGGATTGCCCGTGCTGCAAGGCATTATGACTACTGCAGTAAGGAAGGGACACAGAGGCCATACAGAGAGAAGGAGAGAGGGGGCAACAGGCATCCGCCTTGCCTTCCTCATCCCATAAAATCACTCCAGGATTCCTTTGGGCTTTGCTCCGTTTAAAATTTGGCACAATTTCTGTTTTTGCCAAACCACAGCCAACTCAAAATACTTTGCCCAAACTTCCAGAACATTTTGGATTTGAAATAAAGTCCACTTTCTATCTTGTCCCCAACCCAACAACAGCAAAGCCTTGAAGGAAAGAGTCTTCCACTTTTTTAATAGGATAGTGAACAACAACCTCCTTGTGTTTCAAAAGCAACTCACCTACAACAGCGCAGGAAAACAGCTCTCAGAAATATCCTTGAGGAAGATCCTATCTTACAACTTCAGTTTTAAACAAGGCTCGGTTGGCCCACCTTTCAGACCCTCAACTATGTAAGAAGGAAGTGTTAATGTTACCTGGTTATCAATTTTGATCTCTGTCAGGGTTTCATTCTCTTTCAGTGCATCGATTAAGGCCAAGATGCCTATCCCGGTAATGAAGTTGGATTCAACATTGAGACAATTCAGTGTTTGGTTCACTCGCAGCATGTCCGCAAAAGCCTCGAGACACAAAAGACTGGCAATGAAGTTCAGACTGTACAGGATTCACAACAGAAGGCAGTCATGCTTCCATACATATAGCAAATGAGAGAAAGGAGCTGCCCACAAGTGGCATCTCTCAAGGCTAAAACTGAGATGCCTCGGAGCTAGCGGGGTTTGGGATTTCTCTCTCCCTAGTGCCTTCTACAGCTTCAAATGTTACCTTGTTTTCCTGTGGGCCTACTCTGCAAAGTTGGCTTGGTGATACATGCTAAGCTGCCTCCTCGGCTTAAGTATTAGCCTAAGTTTCATCAGCTGACTTTGTTCAAGCCAATTAAAATTCACCAGATGCTATGAAACTTTCACATTCATAACAACTCCTCATCCTGAGTGATCTGACTAATGGGAGAAATCCTTGGGAGATTTGGCTGGCCTCTTCTTCTTAAGGGCCAATCACAGAAGTGGCTCACTACAGTACCTTGGACCACATTCTGGGGTCTCCTTGTGTATCATATCTGGTCCATCAATTACAGTTCATCCCAAGTCTGGAAGAGGCCAGACAGATGTTGAAAACATCTTTAAAACACCTATATCAATGTTAAGATTAAATGGATCTAAAACAGTGTTTCTCAACCTTGGCAGCTTTCAGATGGGTAGACTCCAACTCCCAGAATTCCTCAGCTAGCATGGCTGACTCGGGAATTCTGGGAGTTGGAGTCCACCCATCTGAAAGCTGCCAAGGTTGAGAAACACTGATCTAAACAGTGGTCTGTTGGATGGGCTGGGCCTCCCTCTCCCATCTCCAGTGATCTCACATTCAGACATAGGTTGTGACTGCCAAATCTGGCTCCTGGCTTACAACAGCAACGGGGTCATTGCTCCGAGTGGCTGCAAGGCTGAAGCTCTTCACGTAGGTGTTCATTTCCAGGGCTTTGGCAAATTCTTTTAGAGTTGGAATGGGGATGTTCTGGAAGTCAAGTAAAAAGGCAACCTTGTGAATATTGACTGAAACTCTTATTATAGTCAAATGTCCTGCTTTCCTTTCTAAGTGGTGTGAAGAATCTGTATGTTTACAGCTTCCGATATTCTCTTCCAACACGTGATGGCAGAGGACCAGGCCAGTGAATATGGCCACATTCTCACCCTCATATAATTGCAATTCTATGAATTCTAGAATTACAACTCTCTACCCTAAAAGGATTCTTTTACTCATTTTACTCAATTCTTACCTTTATATTGTTCAGGTTGACTTCAGTAAGGCGAGGATCATTATCTTTAACCCTCTGCAAACTCTCTTCCACATTGGTGGGGTTTGGTGGCTCATCAAAGACCGGGATTATCTTTTCACCTTTGATTATATCTGAATTAAGAGGTAAGAAACACATATCACAGGTGCTCATTATATTTCTGTTACAAGTAATGGCCCTGCTAAACCAAACCTTATGATGAGACTCTATAACTAATATATGATCCAGGTTTTTCATGCTCACTCAGCATCGCATTACTACCAACTCCAAAAAGAAAGCTTTGGCTCAACAGAAAGTGAATAGCAACTTAAGAACCATTTGTAAAAGGTATCTATTTCTTTAAAAATAACCAATTTCTAAATCACACCCTGGGATAGATTGCCATTAGTTACGTCAAGAGGTATCTGACTGCATTAGAAAGTCACTCTTTGCTGGAGTAGCTGAGCTGAAGCATCTTCATTCCTATCACAAATTGAAACTACATGTTAATCACAGCTTAATAAGCATGGCTATCATAATTAAACTTCTGTGCTAGGCTTCTGCTTCAAAGGCAAAGAGAGACTTTGGAGCCGTGAGGGTGCTCACATAACCCCCTTCTGCAACTCCTTAAAGCACCAATGACTTTTCCCAGGTTGTGGGGCATGATCCTAGGAAAAGGGGCTCAGGGTCCTCCCTCTGTGCTCTAGAGCTCTTTCTTGCCTTCAAACCCAAAGTCCTGCACAGCCCTGAATATTATATCCATGTTACTCAAAACCAAGGAAAGACTCCAAAATCCCTCCAGTCCAACTCTCAGTATTTTCTTTTCTTTTATATTTCAAATGTGGTCACCGCCCATCTCACTAGGAAGCGACTCTGGGCGGTTTACAGTAAAAACAAGAATAAATATTAATTAAAACACAGTAAAAATACAATAAAAACCATATGGATACATAAATAATTTGAGATCATGATTCCAAGCCAAATGCTGCAGACTCCCAGGGGTTTTCCAAAAGTTGTCATCAAGTTACTTTTTAAATAGGTAGAACAGGGAAATTACTAAGTTCATGGAGGTAGCCCTATGAAAGGTATTTAATTAACTGATTTTTCATTCAACTTCAATTCAATTTAATCAAATGTTGGTTCTGGGTCATCTCAGTGCATCTCTTTAGGGTGGCTCCACCAATGTTTTGGAACTCAGCCCCCACTCTACCAAAAGCTGTATGTTTCATCTGAAGACTTCCAGCGTGGACACTCACTTGTGAAACCTTCACTGCCGACGCCATTGCTGCTTCCCACGATATCATGAGAGCTGCTTATCAAGTTGTGCATTCCTAGGATAGCTGCCAGGAGAGAAAAGGGTGGAGGAGAGGTACAGGTCATTATTGCACTCTGTCTCTTCACTTCAAACAAGGCACAAAGTAGCAACCAAATGTCCCATGATTATTTTTGCTATCCTCAACATGCTGGGAAAGGTGGAAGGAAAGAGAAGAAGAGGACGACCAGCAGCAAGGGGGATGGACCCGGTTACAGTAGTGACGAGTATACCGATGGAAGAGCTGAAGAACCAGGTTAGGGACAGATCGTCATGGAGAAAATCTATCTACGTGGTTGCTAGGAGAAGTACACGACTTGATGGCACGTAATCAATCAACATGCGTATTAATTTACTGGGAAATAAGGGGATAAGGCTCTGCCCCAAGCAGCTGTCAGTTGAAAATTTAATGTGGGGGGAAAATGAGAGGAAGGGGTAGAAGGCAAGAGCAGTGGAATATGATGTGCCTATTCCAGTTATATGTATTTTGGGCATCGCTTTGATAGACAAGGAAGATTCCATGTTTGTGTTTGCATAGAAAACAGGGATTGGAAGCCTGTTTATTCCGAACAAGGCAGGCTCTCAGAGACATTAGGATTCTTCTGGCTAGCAGAGGGGAATGAAAAGGAAACTATCTTCATGCAGATTCATTAGCTGCACTTGCATACATTTGAGGAAGAATCTGCCAATGGATGTGCAAACGTAGATGTGGCGCTAATTTCATTCCCCACTTCCTTCTGTTGTTATTTTCCAAAAGCCTGCTAGTCAAGCAACATTCCATTCAGAAAAGTCTTTCATGAATATTCATACGCATGCATTTCATCTTCAATAAGCAAGACAATCAAGCAACTCCCCCGCTCCAAACAAAAAACCCACCACCTTAGCAAATCCTACCGACCTGCAAGGTCACACAGTTCTGTGTCTGTAGCACTTGTCAATGCCTCCTCCAGTTCTGGGTCAAGCATCACTTTTTCTTCTATGTAAGATTGTACTGGTTTCTGTTTGGGGATAAAAACTTTTCCTGTTCAAGGGAAGATAAAGATGTGCAGTTTAGGACAGCCTCAGTGCTTAGCTCTGAACAGTTGACTCTAAAACAGAAGTAACCTGGTGCCTGCCTCTGTTTGGGACTGCAGTTCCCATCAGCACCAGGCAATGTTTCTAGCGGCCAAGTACTGTACTTTGAGACCTGATTTTGGATGGAAATCCTGGGGCTTGCAGTTCCCATACAATGGAGGGTGCCAGGTTGGATAAAGTCAACCTACAAGATGACCTTGCATGAAGTAAATGATACTTCAGCCTCTACCAGAATGTCAAGTTAGGAGACAGTAACCTTCTGCCCTTGGCTGATCCCCAAAACTAAGCCAGGTTGGACCTAGTGAGAGACCAGCAGCAAATCTCAGGGCTGTATTGAAGAAATAAAAAAATATTCTGAAAGAAAGCAATACAAAACCGCTTCCCCATTGTTGTGAAGAAAACAGCATGGACATGGACATCAAGTGACCAGGAGTGGAGCTCAACTTGAAGGAAACCTTTATTATCAGAAAAATCTCTCAATGGTTTTGCATTTACACTCCTCTTTTAAACACATCCTTCCTCTCCTGTGAACATGTCTGTATTTTAGAGCTCTTCAGGAGCCTTTCTCTGTGTTTCCATAATGTCTGAGACACAGAGGATGGGACTTTCTCTGTGGTGGCCCCAAGGTTATGGAGATTTACTCAGCACTATCCTTTGATGGCTCTACAATCCTCCTTCCCCCTACACACACACACACACACTTCTTTCTTTCTTTTGGCAAGGAGATGTGGTTTTCCATCATAGGCAGGCAGGAAACCAATGAAAAATGTAGCCTAACCCATAAATAGACTTAACATTGTTTTACAAAACCAAGTAATATTTCTCTTCTAAAAAAAGTCCTGGGAGGAAAAAAAAATTGCTCCACTGATGTGCTTTCTTTCTTCCCCAGTCACTTTACTTCATTACCTCATTTGTCCAAGAGCAGCTTCAAGGGAAACTGGAAGAGGTTCAGAGGCTGGCCAAGAGGCAAAAGAAGAGAGGCTGAAGGAACTAGCTTTGGGAAGATGCAGAAGAAGGAATGTAAGAGCCCTCTTCAAATACAGTACTAAGCACAGAGAGAAGGAGGCTATCATCTTAGAGGGCATGACACAGAAGAAGGGGTTTAAGTTATAGGAAGGCAGAATTGGATATCCCTGACAGTAAGAACAGGTCAACAGTGGAAGCAATTACACAGAAAAGTGGTGGGCTCCAGTTTGGTCAGATGGCCACTTTATTTTGAATTTCTGTCCTAAGCAAGGGGTAGGTCTCCGACAGACTCTTCCAACTCTATAATTATACCACACGTACACACACTTCCCAGAATAAAGTATATCTATATGTAACTCTAACCTTACTTAGATCTATCTGTGTTTAAATGTATACTTACAGGCTGCCTCTAAAAAGGGATTTTTTTTGTATATACAGGTATGTGTATGCTCATGCATACATATGTCTAGGCACATACATCATTTTATAGGAAGACAGAATGTAGATATTTTAATTAATCATAAACTAAGCCTGGCTTAATATGGGAAGTACAACTGCACAAACAGCTGTGGATTTCCTTTCCTAACTCCCTTCACCATCTGGTTTCTGTTTCTCTTACATTTACTTGCACATCATCACAAGCCTTGGCAAGCGCTAACCTGGATTTTTCAAGATAAAATGGTCAGAAAGAAAATTTTGCAGCATCTGGAATCCATCTCAGCAACATTGCAATCAATGGAAGCCAGCAGAAGACTCCAAGGTTGGCATTTTCTTGGGGAAAAATGAGTCATTGGGAGTTGGGTGGCATACAAGTTTAATAAATTAATAATTTATTAAATTATTTAAAAATGCAACTTGGATTTGACAGAATACATTCAAGATTCATCTTCACTCCACCCTTATTTTTATAACCTTATGAGGGCCGAGTGATTGCAATCAGCCAGTACTAGGCTCAATCCATATGATTTACTATTATTCTAAGCCACAATTTGTTTTAACAATGGCTGATTGAACAAACCATGATTTCCTCAAATCATGAGGCTTGTATAATGTCAAGCTATCAATCACCATTCATAAATGATCATGGCAGGCTTTTTTCAGCACTTCAACCAAGTGCAAAGTGAACAAAATTATTGCAAACCTACATCACATCTGAACTTGGCTGCTGTATTTCATGGTGCTCAATCTTTGGTTGGGATACTTAGGATGGGAGCCAAGTAGAGTTTACACAAGAATGTTGCAACTGTCTGTGTTGTCTTGTTTATTTAAATAAATGAAGCCATTAAGGCTGAAACCTCCAGGCTGTTTATTTCATTCACCTCCCATTTTTTGTCTACTCCAAATGACCTGTTACCCACCTGTCAATTCACCAGGAATATAGGGGAGTTGGCCATGGCACAACTGAAGAAATTGAATTTTGAACAAAAAAACCCTCTAGAGTAGTGTTTCTCAATCTCAGCGAGTTTAAGATGCGTGGACTTCAACTCTCAGAATTCCCCTGAGGAAGCATGCTGGCTGAGGAATTCT